TATCAATTTTTGTATACGAGATGAAAAGAAATTATGCATTAAGGAATTAATGGTGGCGGAGTTTAAGTTTGGTGTTAGTTGTTTGGCTTAGTTGAGTATGGAATGCAGCACAATGTCAGAACTAGGCTATACTGAAGTACTGGTATAGACTATGGAGGACTAACTTTGACTTAGGTTTGTTTATGTTTTTCAGCTTAAAACAAATCTGTGAATGAACTTACAGTTGTTCTACTCTTCAGATGTCATTCATCTCATAGTGAACATCTAAAGGTCAAGAATATTGACGGCGCTGGAGGGCCCTATTTGTTATTGTTGCTTTTATAGTGTGAGTTCATAAGACTTTTCTGATGGAAAATTCAATAAATATCTTGATAATTCCAAATCTAGAGAATAAATAAAGAGTGAGAAAGAAAAGAAGTTAATTAGGTTTATGTTATTGTAACCACAACATAAAGAACGCGCAGAGGCTCTTGCTTGTATTGCTGCTGAGGGCCAGAGATCTTGCAGGTAATATCTGGGAGAAATTGAGGGATCCATAATATGCATTTTCTTTATTGTCTAGCTTTGTTAAAAATATAAATTAAATGATTGGTTTAGCTCGGATATGATGGACCTATTCAATTATGGATTTATATCCACAGTACTTAGTAGTTACCTTTGTGGCATATCTTTAGGATAAAGCTTGTAGTCCCTCAATACCTTTCTTGCTTCGTATGAAACCTATTGTTGAAGTTGTTAGTTTACTTCAGGGGGCACAAAAACTGATCAGGTATTTTGGCACTGGCATGCAATGCAGGTTGCAGCTCATTTCCAAGTAATAAATCTCAGTGTCCTTTTCCCCCTCCACTTAAACCTATTGTTTCAGTAAAATGAGAACAGTTGTTTACAAGCTTAAAGAGATGGAAGAGACTGGAGGGAAAGATATGCGGCATATTGGCATTAGGTTCAGCAAGCATGACCTGAACAGCTATGCCTTATCTCTTAGAAAGCCTTTTTATGGTAATGACTAGGACAAGGTTGTTCACGTTCTTTCAACTAGAGATGAGATGTTCATCTTTTCGTTCTCGGAGAGGGGCATACATCACAGAGATTAAAATTAAAAACGTCGGTATCTTCCTGCATTAACTTTGCAGGAGCACTTGCCTGTCATATTATTGCAGCAAGCTTTCGCAAGAGGAAAGCCATATTCATTTAGTTTAGAAAAGTTATTGGCAGTAATATTCGATCTTACACACTGCAAGGACTAGCACGAAACATCCTGTTTTGAGAATTGACATACCTCAAAAGTCAAAACCATAAGCACAAATAAATAAGCCATCAAACAGAGAAAACAGCCAAAAGTAATCCAGTTTCAGATGTCTCACTTCCTGCAATGCCGCTAAATATTTTTGATCAATTTCCAGAAACCGCAAACTCACAGCAATATTGACCAGAAAAACCCATTGGAAGAAAACCACAACAGAGCTCGTTGCCAAGTCTACCGTGCAGTTGTTTAGTAAAAGTAATTAATTTTGTAATCTTACTCCCTACTTCCTATTTTCGCCTTCCTCCACCAAAGGGGAAAGCCCATCCTCGTTTATTTTTGACGTCTCCTAGCATATTCTTGTAAATGGCCATAGCCTGAGCCACCATGTTGGCAGGATCAGCTGCATTGCTAGGAAGCAACACTGTCGTGCCCTCCTTGGAAAGTTTGCTGAAAGCATCAATGTACTAATCAGCAACCCTCAAACTCACTATCTCGATGCCCCCACTTTCTTGAATAGCTTGTGACGCTATCTGGAATCCATTCGTCGTTGCATTAGCCTTGCCAAGGATGGCCTCTGCTTCTCCGTGTGCCCTGTTAACCTGGTCCATCCGTGCGGCCTCAAAAGCCAAAATCACCGAGCTTTTCGTCCCATCCGCCATGTTGATATTTGCTTGCCTCTCTCCTTCTAATTCAAGAATTTGAGCACTCTGCTTGCGCTCGGCTTCTGCTTGCATCTCCATAGCTCTCTCCACTCCACTAGGTGGCGATATGTCCCTAATCTCGTATTTAAGACACTTACGCCCCCACTTTTCAGCCGCTTGATCAATAGCCCTCACAATTTTCTCATTCATTTCATCTCTTATCAGCAAAAGTATAAAGCTAACCATGTGAGTTTTTAAAAGAAAAGACACAACCTAACCAATAGCTAAGCTAAACTATAGAAATAGAGTAATTGAATAATATTTTGATCAAGTGATGGCAATCTATTATTTCCTAATATTTCTTTACAATTAATGGGGAATTGAGGCTCATTCATTTCAAAATCAGATTACAATATATATACAAATAGCCATTATCATTATGTGGAGGGATTTTTTAATACAACTTAGTTTACCTAGAATTGTCCGAAGATATGAGAGCCTCGTGGCTCTTGCACAAAAAGAAAAGCTATATCTTTTCATTAAGTCTGCTATAGCCATATATAATTGTATTTTTATCTTTTGTTATGCATATCACTTTTAAGTATATATTTTACCTGAAAAATACCTTCAATATAATCTCAAAGTTTTGACAAAAGTTCACTTGAAGATATTTCTCATCATCTTGCTTCATTTTGCTTTTTCTTTGTTGGAAAAAACAATAGCATTTTAAGATAGACAAGAAGAGGTACAAAAGGGGTTTTATATCATAGTTAAACCTCTCTGTGAGAAACTTGATTGCGAAGTTTTCTTTAAGATATCGAGACTCCTACTGCAGACAGGTTAAGTAAGATTTCAAAAGTCTATACATATGATCGAATAGGTTTATCTCAAAGCTGATATATTTTGTAAGAAATTAGGCTGTTAACAGTGACCCAGTCAATTAATGGGTTGGGTTTTGAATTGATTAGCATCCCTATACCAAGCCCTCATGGTAAATAGAATACTATTTATTATGAACAAATTTGCTACATAATAATATTCTTGAGTCTGAATGTCAAGTAAAACAGATGAGATTTGTTCTTCTTATATAAAGGAAGAATAGAATTACAGAACAATTATATGTCCTTGTAATTGTAACTTATTAGAAAAATAATACCTCTAGTTATGATTTGCTAACAAAGAAATTCCTTTTAACTAGAATATCTGTATCCTCCATCAAGCTAAAGATAAAAGAGTTTGCCGATAATTTTTTCCTCCAACCAACAACAAATTTCATTTCAGAACCATGTGAACACATTCGAACTGTTTCTGTACAGGTAAGTTTGAAAGCCGTGTTCATGACCACCATCACAACGATATCAATCATTTGGAAGGAACTCAGAAAAGAATGAAGCAGTTTGTGAGTCATTGCAAGCTTATATTTTTGCTAGGGTACAAAAGCAACAACTCCCCCAACCGACAGCTTTCACTTCAACTTTACTGCCTCAAAAACTAAATAGATATATAGTTATTAGATAAAATAAATATTTATTAATAATGTTATAATGGTTATACCAATTATTTAATTAGAATTGCAATACAATATTGTTATCTAGCTAGATCACAAAATGAGTTAACTATGAATAAGATTAGGAGAGATATATATATATATATATATATATATAAAAGTTATATTTCTCAATACATATGTTAAAAAAAATTCTTACATTATATAAGTTACATAAAAATCTAAATTGTCCTAATTTCCGTATGCAATATAAAGTTAATCTTAATTTTATTCATAGTCTAATTTTAATTAAAATATCCATGATTTAACTCTAATTAAGATATTATAATCTAACTTTAATTAAATAATTTATATAATTATCTTAACTCATAGATTTCATACAAAAAAGTTTCCTTTCCTGGCTAGTTCCTATCCTCGGCATCAGTAAGGAACTTGCTCAATTTATCAAATGGTTCAAAGTTGAGGGACAAATAAAGGAAAAGGAGACCATTAACAATTTAAAACAAGAAAGCTGCATGTGGAGGAATGGTCATTCATTTCTGGTGTCACGACCATAATTTTCTTGTATGTCCAGACAGGGACAGTCCTGCAGAAAGAAAAAAGATGACAGTGGTCACACTATATGACTATAATAATAATAATTCATTATCTTAGAATTAATTTTCTCGCCAGATGTAGTGATGCCTTATTTATGTTGCTTGCCTCTGTATCGTCGGACTTAGCTATGTCAGTCGTGGGGAACATATAGCTAGCCAAATGTCCATCAACTCTGCATTAGCTGTTTGCACTTTGTATTCATTATTTCTTTTACTTAATAATAATAAAAAATGTTACCTGATCCTTTTATGGAAAGGATAATTGGGTTTGGTACCGAACACCTATCATTTAATGGAAAGGGTAAAATGATAAGATGTGTGTGCAATTTTAAGACTAGGATAAGACAATCTTTTTACTCTTATCATGTTTAGTCTGTACAAGATTACGAGTAAGATGGGATTACTCTTCATCACTAGTCAAACCTACATTACGATAACTCTCACCATTAACCTAAGTGATTAATATTGGCAAGAGGGTTGAGCAGACTGCCTATTTAAGATAGTATTCAAGATATTTATAGAAAGTTTAATTGGGTAAAAATCTTCAAATTCATCGATATAAAAAAAAAAGGCATTTTCTTTTGCTTTCTTGTTCTTCATTTGGCTGTTGGGCTTTTTGACTGAGCCCCACTTGTAACTAATTGTGCTGCGACCAGATGACCTAGAGTTTACTTGAAAGGGAACTGCTTTTGAAAGTTAATATCAGAAGGGTAACTGTGATCTATCTGCTTCGGCTTTAGAGCAACAGGAAGTCATGGTAGCAAGGAACCGAAGATATTAGGCCGTTAAAGACGTGGCTAAGGATAACATCAAAGTTATAACTAATGTATAAGTATACTAGTGATATAAATCTTCAAAAATATAAAATAAAATAAAATCTAGTGATCCTTTAATTTGTTACGTGGCAAAAGCTCGACATTACCTGATAAATGATGCAACCTCAGACCCCACCCTCTTCAAATCTCTATATATACCTGTTCTCATACGGGAGAATAACGAACCATAAAAGATCGCAACTACTCAGCTGGGAGCGATTTTTTTTTTTTTCCCTTTGATTTCTTTTTGAAAAGGCAGAGTACCATGGGAAAGGCTATGGAGAAGTCGTTGCTATTGCATGTGATGTTTCTGTGGGTAAATTTGCTCTTGTGGACAGTTAGTGGCAGACTTGGAAAGTCGGTAGAAAATGCCGAAGCAGAAATCTCAGCAGTCGGTGATCCAGGAATGAAAAGAGATGGGTTGAGAGTGGCCTTTGAAGCTTGGAACTTCTGCAATGAAGTCGGCTATGAAGCTCCTGGCATGGGGAGTCCCAGAGCTGCGGATTGTTTTGATGTTGTTAGTAAGTGCCGGCATAACTTAAAAACATACAGTAAAGCGAACTGCGATTTTCTTCTAAGTTTCTCATGTTTATTAAATCTTTTACGATACCTCAAGTCTGTAATGAAATAGAACTATCTTTTTTGGAGTTTTAGTATGATTTTATCAAAATGGGTGTAGTAAAACACAAACTACAATTCTGATTAGTACGAACTAACTAACAAAAGAATATGATTTCTATTGCATGTGACAATTGTTTAGTATTTGATCTAATAATTATTCTTGTAAATGGGGCAGATTCAACTCTGATACACAAGGTGTCAGAGGCTGATAACAGACTTTCGGTAGGCCAACCATTCAAAGGATTGAGTCCTGAAGCACTGAACAGCCCAGATCTTTATGCAGTTGAGAAGGAGCTGTATTTGGGTTCTTTATGTGAAGTTTCAGAAAACGGTTCAGAGCCATGGCAATATTGGATGGTTATGCTAAAAAATGGCAACATGGACACAAGGACCGGTTTGTGTCCTGAAGATGGGAAAGTGGTACCTCCTTTTACTACAGATAGGTTTCCTTGCTTTGGAGAAGGGTGCATGAATCAGCCCACTTTTAATCATCAACCGACAGAACTCTTAGCTGATGGTACAATGAGAGGATGGTTCAATGGAACTTATGATTTGGATGCTAATACTGTGAGCGGACTTGGTGAAAATATCTCCTATTATGAGGTGATTTGGGAGAAGAAACTTGGTTCTGGAAGTTGGGTCTTTAAGCATAAGGTCAGGACTACAAAGAAGTATCCATGGTTGATGCTCTACCTCAGAGCTGATGCAACTAAAGGATACTCTGGAGGGTACCATTATGAGACAAGAGGAATGCTCAAAACTGTAAGTTGAAACTCTTTGGAACAAGTATTGCTTTGCTTGGTTAATTAGTTTATGATCCCATTCACAAATTTTTTTTATCTTGATTTTGTTTGCCTAACAAAAATGAAGATTATTCTAGTCTCCCATCTTTTTCTGACACTAAATTTTGCCCAATTAACCCCTTCCCTTCTTTGGAGGAAGAAAAGAAAACGAAAAGGTCTAACCATAGTGCTCTAAAATTTTCGAGGACAAAAGTGTAGTTGATTGCTGATAATGTTATTCTCTGGCTTCTTGAAAGAACCAGTCATGGGGTAGGTGATTGAAAGATATCATTATTTGGGAGGCAAATTTTGTTACTGCAATATTAATCACGGATGATTTAATTTCTGGCCTAACTATGTTGTTGGTCAAGACATGAATAATTAGTTTTTACCGACTTTATTAGAAATTAAAATCAGACATCTTAATTACTTTTACAACTAATTCATACCAAATCATTGTCCTTACTTTGTGCGTTAACTGGACATTGGTTGAACTGGGACTGAGTTGACAGGCCTTGAAACAGATTCAATGAAGATCAACAAGGTCATACGATTAGTTTTCTTAATAAGACGACGGTGGGGGCTATAACTATGATTTGGACTGCGCTTATTTGAATATCTTTTGATACCTCTGCATATTCTCACTTTGAAAGAGTAAACAAATTTGATTTGCTTTCAGCTCCCACAATCCGCTGATTTTAAAGTCAGAATAACTTTGGATGTGAAACAAGGAGGAGGAAGCAAGAGTCAGTTCTACCTCATAGATATTGGCAGCTGCTGGAAGAACAATGGTAAGCCTTGTGATGGAGATGTGACCACAGACGTTACAAGATACAGTGAGATGATCATCAACCCTGATACTGCAGCTTGGTGCAGCGCGGATCATTTGATTAACTGTCCACCATGGCATATTACTCCAGACAACAAAAAGATTTACAGGAATGACACTAAGAATTTCCCATATGGGGCTTATCACTATTACTGTGGTCCTGGCAATGGTAAATACTTGGAGAAACCTGTTAGCATATGTGATCCTTATAGCAATCCGCAGGCACAAGAACTAGTTCAGTTGCTGCCTCACCCCATATGGGGTGAATATGGCTACCCAACCAAACCGGGTGATGGATGGATTGGGGATCCAAGAACTTGGACGCTTGACACCGGCGGTCTAGCCAGTAGACTCTACTTCTATCAGGTGATTGTTTGATTAATCTGTGTAACTCTTGTTAGAATGTGTTACTACTAAATAATCTTATTCCTTTTAATGGTTTATGGCTCTTGTTCAATTTCAGGATCCAGATACCCCTCCTGCTAAAAGAATATGGACGTCTATCGACATGGGTACAGAAATTTTTGTCAGTGACAACGACGAAGTGGCAGAATGGGACATCAGTGACTTCGACGTTCTTCTCACATGATTCTTGATTCAAGTCTTTCACCTTTCGGTTCCATTTATTTTCATTATTTTTAGCTGATTAGAAATAGCACAAGAAAGAAACAGGGTAAAGTAGGAGCATTTCTGATACCGATTCTTTTAAGAGTGCAAGGATATAGGACGCAACCAAGTTCCAAGGGCATGCTTTCCTAATCCTTGAAATATAGTCATTTCGTTACCTTGTCGAATCACCATGTCATCAGATTCCAGGTTTCATAGTCAATAATTTATTAACTGCATATTTTTTGACTGATTTGAAATGATTTTGAGGTTGAGTTTTGCTTAAGAAATGGCCTGTTTGCAGCAATCTTGGATGCCTTTTGTTTAGATATTGACTTACCAGCCTGAACTGTTTCCAGACATAAAAACAAAGGTTCCCCCCAACCCCCACTAATACTACATGACAATCTGATAGAAGCTTGATGGTTTCCAAATTCCAATAATGGGCACTTTTTTGACAAAAGTTCACATAAAGCTATGGGACCATAACAAAGGTTTGGACATAATCATGCTAGTGGTCCTACCATGTGGATTTGGTTGAAACGTCAAAATTGTACCATTTTATTCCCCTCAAAACACACACATAACAGTTGTACAAGCTATCACGGGATATAGCCAAAATTGATGCTGAGATGATGCATTACAGCTAGAACAAGTGCAAGCCCTCACGCTTTAAAGTAATTCCTTTGCACCTTTCCGTCTAAATGTGAAATACTACAAATTAAATTATACCAAAAACTTTTATTTAATAAAAGAGAAAAACAAAAAAAAAGGTTGTGCCAAGGACTACAAATGCCCAATCCAGGCTTGAGTCGAGGTCCAGCTTGGTTAACTTTTTACAACAGACTCAAAGCCCAGACCCACTCCTCTTTATTCTTCAAAGCAGGTCTGGAAAAGGCCCATGATGAGCCCCGCACACTTCCTACCGACGATGTCGCATTGTACGAACAACCTAATCGCGCATGCTACTGCTGCTCGGCGATCATATTCCCTCCGAAATTGCCCTCCAAAAGAAACAATAAGAAAAATCAAACCAAAATTTGGCCCAAAACTTTTTCGAAGGTCCCCATTGCAAATGCGCTTCTAAGCCGATCTTGGAATTAGGGTTTTCAATCTCTAAGAAGGTAACGGCGTTCTCGTAACTCTGAAAATAGGTTTTTTTTTTTTTTGTAATCTATTATATTTAGTTTACAAGCTGAGACTAATATTTGTGCTTATTGTTTCGATTTCAATTAAAAACTCTTCTTTTCTTTTCTTTCTTTTTGTTTTTTATTTTTGGCGAAGGAAGGTTTTTGTTTTCCTTTTTTTTTTTTTGACAGTGAAAACTCTTACTATGTTTGCAAGTTGGCATTTTACAGTAGATTTTAGTGGGTTGTACATGAAAATCGAAAAAGGTTTTTTTTTTAACTTAATTCTACATGATTTGAGCTTGTTTTAAGCTGAATATGTGCAATTTTATTTTTGTTTTGGATTTATTTACATTTTCTAATCTACCATCTTCTTCTTCTTCTTCATTTTTGCGCTGGCGGAGGGGTTCCTTTAGGTTCTGTTTTTCTTATATTGCTGGCAAAAGCATGGCTAAGGGAAAGCTTATTGCTGTCTGCCGGTCGGGAGGAAAGTTTACACCAAGTAGTGATGGCTCGTTGTCATATACTGGCGGAGATGCTCACGCTATCAGTATAAACACTGAAAGCAAATTCGATGAGCTGAAAGCAGAAGTGGCAGAGATGTGGAAGTATGATCCTGATTCCTTCACCATTAAATATTTCCTTCCACACAACAATAAGACGCTCATCACAATTTCCAACGACCAAGACCTGCAACACTTGCTGGATTTTCATGGAAACTCTGCCACCGTGGATGTATATGTCTTAACAAATGAGAATCAAATGAGTGACCAGTTGACAATGTCCCACAGTAGGGAGTATGCACTTCGCAATTTTTGGATGATGAAGAATTATGTTGTTTCCTATGTGGAATAAATAATATGTTTTGTGGTTATAGCTAACTTCGTCATCATGCTAATATCATTGAGGCAACTAGGTCTAATACTAGGGTTCATCCTTGTTGTTATTTTGCATTACCCTTGTAAACTATATGGTTTAAATGGATTCATATCATTGCAGGTCCAGAATGGGGGATGAGCCTGTGACTTCTCCTGATAGTTTTACTCATGCTGCTTCTGTTTCTGGAGACACTGAGCAACTTGATTGGTTGGCTTCTATTGCTTCAGTTTCCAGAGATATGAACCATCCCAATAACTTGACCGCTGAAGCTCCTAACAATAAGGATAATGGGCTGCAGAAACTTGTTAAATCTTGGGAAAATTGCTTAACCGGTCTGGATCAGCAGTTCAATAATGTTCATGATTTCCGTGTTGCTCTGAATAGATTCTCCATTGCTCATGGCTTTAAGTACACCTTTAAGACCAATAATGCTAGGTATGTGATTGCAACTTGCAAAGCTGATGGCTGTCCTTGGAGCATTCAAGCTGCGAGGTTGTCCACCACGAAGTTGTTTCTAATTAAAAAGATGAGTGAAACTCATAGCTGCGGAGCAGGAAAAAGTTCTGCTAGATGTCCCCAGGTCTCTAGTAAATTGGTCAAAATTCTTGTAAAGGAAAAGTTGCGAGATGCCCCACATGCTAAACCGAGAGAAATTGCCGATGAAATTCTTCAGGATTATGGATTTAAAGCAAGATATTCACAGGTATGGCGTGGAGTAGAGACTGTCAAGGAGAAGCATCAAGTTCCATATGAAGAGGGTTACAATCAATTACCTAGTCTAGTTAAGCAGATGGTAGAGAACAATCCAGGCAGCATAGCAACTCTATTCACCAGGGAGGACCTAAGCTTCCATCGTCTATTTATTTCCTTTCAAGCTTTATTACATGGTTTCAAGAATGGTTGCCGCCCCCTTCTTTTTCTTGACACTATGACCATAAAATCAAACTATCAGTCTGAGTTGCTGACTGCTACAGCTTTGGATGGAAATGACGGCATGTTCCCTGTTGCATTTGCTGTAGTTGATGTTGTGAATGATGATAATTGGCATTGGTTTTTGGTGCAACTAAAATCTGCAATTTCAACATTCCAACCACTAACATTTGTGGCAGATAGACAGATTGGGTTTAAAAAGCCTATTTCCATGATATTTAAGAATTCGCACCATGGTTATTGTCTCCGTCGTCTGACTGATAAATTAAAAAAGGATCTTGCTGGCGTACATACTGAAGAAGTACTTCAAGTAATTGTCGCACATTTCTATGATGCTGCCTGTGCAACCACACTTGATGGATTCAGGAAATGTATTGACAGCATCAGAAATATTTCACCTGAGGCTTGTGAATGGATCTTGCAAAGTGAACCTGAGCACTGGACAAATGCTCTTTTTCACGGTTCACGATATGGACACTTTTCAGCAGATGTTGCTGAGACATTTTATACTTGGGTAACTGACCTTCCTGTCTTACCAATTGTTAAATTGATTGAGACTATCTGCCATAAGATGATGGAGTTGATGAAAACTCAGCTTTCAGATTCAGGGCAGTGGTTGACAAAATTAACTCCCCTCGTGGAGTATATATTACAGCAAGATATTCTGAAAGCTAACATGCTTCAAGTGTCAGTATCACACGCAAGCACTTTTGAGGTCTGTGACAGTTTGGGTGCAATGAATGTAGTGAACACTGATCTCTGGGACTGTAGCTGCAGGGAATGGCAATTGAAAGGTTTTCCGTGTTGCCATGCTGTTGCTGTCCTTCAGTGGTCAGAAAGGAGTTTATATGATTATTGCTCCGAGTACTATACAGTTGATGCTTTCCGGTTGACATATTCAAACTCCATAAATCCAGTTGCAACAGCAGGTAGGCCAGTGCAAAAGAAATCCTCAAAAATCGAAGTACGCCCTCCTCCTCTCTATCCTGCCTCTGGCCCTCCCAAGAAGAGAAGGATACGAAATAGACATAAAGGACCCTTGAAACGGCCCCTGCATTGCAGCAAGTGCCAAGGAGCTGGACATAATAGAGCAACATGCCGTATATTTTCATAGTCGCACTAGTGTTACTGAAGGGATGTAATATAACTGTAGATACTCTCTTGGGAGTAGGGATGGAATAAGTTAGAAAATCCTAACTCCATTGAAATGTAATACAAGTATTGGCGGGTCTCACAATTTTGGGTGGGACACCCATGTTCATCTAACTTTAGCATTGCCAATAGTTATCAATCAGAAGTATGTTTTTTGGTGATGAAGCCATTTTCTTCTTTATAATTTTCAAGAATGGTGTACTCTTTTTACTGGTCTCAATATGTTGATATAGATTGCTGAGTTGGATTCTTTGAAGGTTTTCCATGCAGCCTCTTGTTTTTTTTTTTTTTTTTTTGGGTCCCTTAATTGGTAAGTTCTTCGACCATCCAACATTTAATAAGCTCGAAAGGCTCATATCTGTAGGCTTCGACTATACCCTCCCCCCAGATTGCCTCCCCATGAGGCTTTCAGCGGGGAAAAGAGGGAGGGAAAAATTACAATAAACTTGTACGAGTTCCCAATTTCCTTTTATTTAACCCAATCACGGAATGTACATCTGATTTTCATAGAAGGATTGCTGACTTTTCTTATTGGGGTTGGTTTGGTGGTTTAAGGTTGCTCAACCTCACTCTAGTTGTCGATTTCCTAGATCGAGAGGAGACATTTCATCTGATTTCCACCACCACCTACCCCTTTCCAAGTTAAACCAAGACCTCAATCTCTTTTGCTGAGATAATCCAATTTCTCCTCCTTTCAATCGATTTTCTGTTGCTTTGCTGCATCTGCCTGAAAAAGGATGGTACTGGAAACACAATTTCTCCTACCAGATCCACCCATACTTACTCGGCTTTCAGGATTAAATGGAACATACGATTTGAAATCCACAACATGATAACCTGAATCTATTTATTCAAAGATTCCGTGGACGTGCTCATTCAATTCTTTAAATACTGGCATATTTTATTCATTTTTCTGGTAAGGGTAAAGCATCAGTATCATTGGAGAATATGAGAGTAGTACCAGCAGAAGGGTAGTACACATTCGTCCTATAGGAAATACTCAAGAACTTGTATTTTCAGTTAGCACTCAAAGTTGTTAGTACAGAGTCAATTTGTCCAGCGAGAATTTTATAGTACATTTTGTACTATAATCCTTTTGGGTTTGTAGCATAAATAGCTCATATGACAGCATAGACTCAAAACCAAGTTTCTTGGTGGCTGAAAAGTGTATCATGACTTGATGAGTTTGTCATAAAAGAAGGATGGGGACCTAAGCCCTGAGGTCATTGTGCAATTGCCAGGTTTTTAAGGCTTTGACAGATACACTGAAACAAGGTGATTGCAAGAAAGTGAGGTAAAAGTCAATAGGGAGAGAGCGAGAAAGATGTGAGAGACCGACCAAGACAGGGAACAGGCTGAGCATGGATGAATCTACCAACAGGCTTCTGTTGTCGATCCGCCCATGCACTGCCTCTTCCCTGGCTCTGCCTCTTCCGTTTTCTCCTCCCTCTTTTTTCATCTTCATTATTTTTGGGATTATTCTTTCTCTGTTTTGTTATAATAAGCAATAACCAAGTGATTGAATTCAGATCCAGGTTCATGATAGCTACGTTTAACAAGAAGCCAAGATAAGCGTGGTTAGCTATACCTCCACCACCCCCGACCCCAGCTCTTTTTTGCCCTTTTTGTTCATTTTCTTTTGTTTTGTTGAAGATAAAACTATTCTCTGAATCCAAGTGGAGCTACCTTCTAAATCTGTTGACCTGGCATTAGTGCAATCAGATGTGAACATGATCGCCTTGTCCAGCGGCAGCGGATTGTTTTTTCTTTTATTTATTTATTTTATTTTTTGCATGACTGTGGAGTATATTCATTTCATTATACTTTGAATGAAGTTTCTCTCGATATTTAGAATTTCAAGATAATTAATAAGTAGCGATTCTTAAGTCCATTTATACAACATCTGTACCATAAATGGGAATGTAATAAAAACAAGCATTAGCAACCTGTAGCCATAGTTGTCATTAACGGAATCAGGCGAGCGGAATTGGTTGGAAACGTTTCATAGCTTGGAGATTAATTGTTTCACTAATTACGGAAAATGCATTGCGATTTTGCAATCATTTCTGAGAACTTGGTTGCCTTTGTTCTTATTCTTCCACTATCACCATTGGTACGGGGAAAACGACGCAATTAACACTTACATGCCGCATTGCTTTAAGAGACTGAAGACCGAGGGCACAGAGGATTTCCGGTTTTGCCAAAGCTGCCATTCCTGTTTCGAATTGGTCCCATAACTCCATAAGCATTTTGTGCTACACGGAAAACGAAGAGACGAATTCTTCATTGAGATTGGTATTCCCTTTACAGGGGTGTAGTAGCAGGGCTCTTTTTTTTTTTTTTTTAAACAAAATAATTTTCCTTTCCCAATTAGGTAATTGTAAAATACAATCTCATGTGCTAGGAAGGGAAGATTTCTGTAGTTTGATCATTCTATACAGAAAAACAAAGATAAATTGGGATCTCGGATTGATCTTGCTTGTCATTGCTTCTTTCCAGGCAGTAATGCCCGAATCTTTGCAAGCAGAAACCGCACAGAGCTTAAAATTCACTGGATAAGGCTGCAATAATGATATTAGTTTCTCAAATGTTATGCTACGCTTGTGGTCAGAATCATTTATATTGATAAAACACATTAATACGAAACTAATCTCTCAAGCTCCTCTTCTATCTCATGATATAGAGAACAAACCCCCGGAAAAAAGTATCATCCTTGTGGATACCGAAATTTCTCTGACTAATGAAATCAAGTTCATTTACAGCTAGAGTGGCATAATTATGCCCGTAAAAGTGACCAACTTTAATGGATTTTGAAAAAGCAGAGAATCATGTTCATATTAAGCAATGTAAATGAGTGGTAGCTAAGAGTTCTCCTAGCAAGTCAGATCTTGGACGTTGCCGGCATTGTGCCCCGATAGAGACTTCAGATCATCGGGGAGATGGTTCTAAGTTTCTGAGTGTGATTAAGATTAGTACTCATAATCATTAAAAGGCAAGTAAAAATAAGCCTAACACATCATGCTACTCAACTTCCAATTAAACAAGGCTCCAGACCCATTTTCTACTATCAACAAATTGAAATGTTAAAAATCCTTCCAACAGTTTCTGTTTCATAATGAAGAGATTGATTACATCTAGGAACAGCGGATATAGCAGTAGGATTGATACATTAATAATAACAACCAACCTTGTTAAATATGCCCTGCATTCTTACCGGGACATGGGTTTTGGCAGCCACCAGTAACCAATCTGCTTTCATAAACCAGAACTAGCTCAGAAGATCAATTTATGTCCAATCGAACCAGCAAGCTGTGTTAGCAAAAAGACTATAAAAATCAGAAAAGATTACACTATTTCAACCTAATAAGTTTCAGAACAATGTTTACTAGGCAGACATATACAGAATCTGACGCCTAGGGTAATGGCTTGCTAGAAATGAAGATATTAATAACCTTCATTTTAGATGTAGAATCGCATAAATAGCAGAATCATTCATCCAATTATAGAACCTGATCTAAAGCTTACTCGAATACAGTGCAAAAGAAAATGAAAGCAAAAAAACAAAGTGGAAAAGGGAAAGCACCCTTTGGAAGTTGACTTTGTTTCAGGCTTTCAGCTAAGGAATAGATTGGTGCCGAGGGTTACTCGAGCTGAAATTGCTTACTCTACATCTATTAGCAGAATAAAACCAGAAACAAACTTCGAAAAAGAATTTGTCGATATTTCTTTGGATATCTTTCTTAGCACCACAGATGATGCTCAATTCAAAGTCAATGTCTTGGTGGCCTGCACTGCTAGCTAAAGAGAAATATATCCTGAATTAGAATAGAGAAATAATTTGCTATGAAATTGGCTATTATGATGAAGGAAAGGCCAAAAAGGAAAAAAAAAAAACCAGAACATAAAAGGCAAGTATAAACAATGAAAAGTCCTAGATTGGGAGGCATAGCAAAATAGGATTCTTCTACTTGTTCCTAATGAATGGCCAAGTCAAAGTTGAGCTGGGAATTAGCCCAGATGTCTATGCATGCGTGAATCAAGTTCCTTGATCAGTTGAATCCCAAAAACACTCAGAGCAAACTGTACAGTTTCCAGAGTCAACAAATTCAGATGAACTAGAATCCTAATTTACTTCCAATCTAGCTGTAAATTCCAATGATCCTAATCAATTACGACTTATGACTCATTAATCATCAATATAGACCAGAAAGGTTTCATGAAACATGATGGGCTAGAGGGGGAAAGGATATAAAGAATTGGTAGAAGAGAGGCAAAAAAGAAAAGTTACGTACCTGTTATCTTCATCAGTCCAGCAGACAGATTGATTGCAGTCGACTTGAATACAAGACTGAGCTTCGACAAGTTTATGGTCCAGTTTACCAGACTCTATAAACTGCAAATCTTCCAAAAGTATCACATAATGTTTCTGAACTTCTTCGGCACTTTTTTTCCCTCCAACCATGGCTGCAACAACTTCCCAGCGATCTGGGTGTTGCTCATCAACCAATGCTAGAGCCAGCTCAAACAACTTGTTCTCCTCCCAGCTCCACCCACACAAAACTTTTGGAAAGTTATCCATATGTCACCTCTGAAAAAACCTTTTCCTTTGATTGATTGATGTGGCTCTTTTGAGGGAAATAAGGAAGACTTAATAATTGCTTCCCATTCTAGGATTCATCGAAGTAGAAGAAGAAGAAGAAGAAGAGCTGAAGAGGAATCTTTTTAGGCGACTTGTTTGATTCTCTAGACCAGATTCTAACACCCCTGTCTTTAGGGGGGTGTCAGATATCTGTTGTGAGTAGCAAATCTATCCTTTTTGTTTGTTTTTTCCAGGTCTTTTTGTCAGAGACAACAGGGCTTTCCCTAGATGTAGATCTAACCATGGGCAATCAAATGGTAAAAAATGTAATTATAAACCCAACATAAAAGAATATACAAATTTAATCCGTCTGGCCTAAAACAGGAAAACGGCAGGTCAAAAACAGACAAAACTTACAGACTTTACTAACCATTTCTTGCAATACCTAGAATACCACTTTCCTCCAAGTCTAGCATCGGATCCTTAATGTTGTTAAATCCGGAAAGGCAGCATTACATGCAATTTTAAAGTAATTTAAACCAACAGTTGGAAAAGAATCAAACATGATTTTATCCTAACCCAATCAACCTTTTTCACATTTTTCCAAACTTCTACCCTGAAACGAAAGAAAGAGACTTTTGTGGGTAGGATCACACCTTGCCTGATTTTTCCAGGTTTCCAAGCAATTTACAGTTCAGACCTGGGTCATTTTGAAGGACTTTTTAATGGGTGGAAAAGACTTGGTTGTGGGAGGAAAACATTTCTTTATCTTACTAGTTTTTGCCTGATTGGACACCGTCCTGGGCAGTGAAAACTGATCCAAACCAACTTTTCCTTTTTTTTTCTCATTTCGCATTTATGCAGTTTCCTAGGGTCAGGTTGCTTTTTAATAGATGTGTTAACCTGTCTCCTTCAGTCCGGACAATTTTGGACCCCGAAGGGATTTGAACCATGTCTCTGGGCTTCCCCTATAGCCCTAAATTAGATCGTCATATATTCAATTGTGAGTGGTTACGTAAAGGCATTTTCAACAACTATTATGAGAATATCACCACTACCTATTTTCTAGGTCAGAAAATAGTGAACAATGCAAGAAAAAAGTGGCAACATTTTCCACGCCAGCTTGATCTCAGCCAAAAGAGCGGAAAGGTTACACCCGCCGGCCGTACCCCACGGTCCACGCATCGGCCAATCTCATCCAGTCACATTCGTCTTAGGCTTTAATTTGTCTTTGAAGGTAAACTATAGACTTATTCTAGGCAATTGATCAAATGATTTTATCCTTTGTTTTTTCTTAAAGGAGCTGGAGGATCGCAATCGTAGCTTTATGTCTGTTCAGAAGCATGAGCCATCAATTTTCTTCGGCGGAAGCAACACGATTAGGGTTCTCTCACCAGCACAGAAAGGGTCGGTGTCTAGGTGGGGTCACGCTGCTCGAAAGGCTAAGATGGCAACAAAGGCCACTAATTGACAGATATTCCCAGAACTCTCTTTCCCCTGTAATAAGCTTAGAGATATTTGGGACACGTCAAAACAGTAAGATCCATATATGCATTTTTTATTCGAACAAAAATCATCTTCTGGGACTCCCAACACCCTTTGAGTTGAAACACAACCATTGGGCCACGGATCAAAAATAGGGGAAAAATACAGACTATTGACCCAAAACTTACAAGTCAATTTCATAACCTGGATTTTACCAGATAAATTTCACATTAATACTGTTGGCATTAGTAGTTGTAGCTCCTATGAGTCCAGGGCCCGAGGGCTGCAAAGCTAACTCTGAAAGTAATCTCACAGCTTATGTATGAAAAATGATATTAGAAGCAATATCAGGTCGTGGGACATTGTGACAGAGTTATCAGCTACAAAACAAATCTAAACTCTAACTAAGTGCATAAAAAATTGTGTATGCAACATCATAAATTAGTAGTCGCTTCCAGGATACCGAGTAAGAGACACAACAGGCGATGACACATGTCATGGAAGTATAACGGCCTCTCTGTGTTAACACATGCATTCCCAATAAGGAGTAGAATATTCTACAGGTCCAAATTGCAAGAGAAGAAAAAATAATAAGCCAAGAAGTATAACGTGAAATCCAACCACTTTCATGCCAGAAAATGATGTTTAATGGAAAAAAAAAATCTGCAACTTGCCATACACCACGACCACCAAAACAAGGTCATTGAGCAGACCTGAACGATGCAATTGCATCCATTTCCTGTTGCAAAAGAAGAGCATCAACAAAGATATCCAGATTCTCTCCCTGCATCACATCATCTATCTCATGATACGTGATGCCAACACGATGATCAGTGACACGCCCTTGAGGAAAGTTATAGGTTCGAATGCGCTCAGATCTGTCCCCACTACCAATCTGTTCATACTTCAAAGTGATCAGTATCCAATCATCTGGAACAGAGTAGATAAACAGTAACAAAATAACTAAATCTTCATCTCATAGTAAGCCCATACCTGTTCAGATCTAAGTTTTGATCGACTCATCTGAATCCTAGACCTCTCCATTTCATACAGCTTTGCACAAAGCACCTTAAGTGCTTTGGCTTTGTTCTATTATCAAGCAAAAGGGGAGAACAAGGGAAAGTTAAGGGAAGCACCAGGAGAGTATAAGCATGGATGATAAGGGGCATAATACTGCTAGAAAACCATCCAAATTCATATTTCAACGCTTTCAGGTTAAAAACCCATAGCTCACATACTTTACTTAAGCGACTGAAAATATGGCGTATATATCAGAGTATTCAGCTAGTTACAAAGACTAGACATGGATGCAATCATGTCCGCAGAGAAGATACCTAGCCATTCACACAAAGCTTATTTTCTATGTTGATACATACAGACGCCTATTGAGCTTTGAAGTACACAAATGGATATAATTATCTTGCATCCCAAGATTCAAACCTAAGACCTCCAGGTGCAGGTTCTAACTGTTAAAAGTGTTATGCTAAGGACTAATAAGCATGTTAGTTTCTAAAGATAGTGGAGCAGTAAAATTGACAAAAAGCTGATACTAGCATGTAGGGCTTAGCAATATAAATTTAAAAGCAAGCATGCATCATTAACTTTTCAAATGAAAAACTTCTTGTCCATGATTGGATCGTTTTGAAACATATAGGATCACTCCAAGGTAAAAAAAAAAGGAAAGGCTGCAAAATTAACAAGTCAGCCTTGGCAATAACTATCAGAAAATATGGGTTAAAATATGAAGTTTTGTTCAAAAGATCTTAGGACAAAAGAATGCAAAACCACAACATTCGAGTGCTCTTTACCATATGCTGCGTTCGTTCATCCTGTATAGATACTGTTATACCAGTGAGCAAATGAGTGACTCTAACAGCACTGTTGGTGGTGTTTGCATGTTGTCCACCAGAACCACCAGACCTGTAGGTATCAATTCTCAAATCTTCATTCCTTAACTGGACATCTACCTGCAGATACCCAACATGAACATCAATCAAAGCAGGCAAAAAGGATATAGTAAATTAAAACTTGTATCCGAGAAAATAACTGTAAGAGTGTCAAACATTAAGGAGAAAGGAAACTACTATAAGCAGTCTGAGCACTCGACAAAACTCTCAACTAAATAAATCTCAAAATCTTTCAAACAGAAAAAAGAACCACAGATGAAACACAAATTTGTATCCTTAAGCACCTCATCAGCCTGAGGGAGAATAGCAACTGATACAGCACTAGTGTGGATACGTCCAGACTTCTCTGTCACAGGAACACGCTGCCAAAAGAAAACTCCATGTAACTTATGCTTTAAGCAATATATTACATGTTAAAAAGTCAGAAATGAAACCTGAACTCTGTGAATTCCACTCTCAAATTTAAGTTTCCCATAAACACCAGCTCCTGAGATTGCTGCACTAGCTTCCTGGTTAGGAGAAGAAGAAGTCAAAGTTCTGTGATGCAGACACAAGATAAACTCCACATGTTAATCCCAAAAACTTTAAAAATGACCAAGACACTATCTATAGACTGCAAATGTACAAGTTGAACAAGCAACCAGAAACCATCTAAAATCAGATATAAGATACATAAAACACTCAATAAAAGATGGAAGACATACCTTATATCCTTTCAGATCAGACTCTGTTATATCTACCACTTCAAACTTCCAACCCTTCTTATGTGAGTACCTCTCATACCTGTTGTACCCCAAGCGAAAAAACAATTCTCAGATAATCAGCTTCTAAACGAAATTTGCGATTCACAGACAGACCTTGCTGTACTGACTTACATTTTAAGCACATCCATTGCAAACAAGGAAGCCTCCTCCCCACCAGTTCCTGATCAAACGTTTTTGTCAAATACAATACTAAAAAGTGGGAGAAAGGGAGAGGGGAGGGGTGGGGGAGGAAGTAATCAACAAAAACAATGACAACAAGCCACATTCAAGTGCCAATCACATACAGTATGTTACCTGCTCTCACCTCCAAAATGCAGTCCCTCTCATCAGCATCATCCCTAGGAAGTAACAACCTGAGCAGCAAGTTTGCAGCCTTTTCTCTTCTTCCAAAGCCTGACCCAAATCCTCAGTTGCCATATCAAGCATGTCTTTATCATCGGGCATTCAGTCATCAATGACCTCAAACCATCTATCTCCTATGTAAAAGCAAAAAAGAAGGGCATTCAGCCATCACTGGCCACGAACTTCAATCTCCTAGTAAAAAGAAAAAGGAAAGCCTAAAACAGCGTCTTCATTGGACAAAATAGCATAATAACAGCAACTAGAGAAAGCATTAGGATAACGCACAAAGAACCCCCGAGTATATAATTATATTATCAACACACCAACTTAACTGAAAGGCTTAGATTAGCAAAGCTACAGAAGTAAACAAGATAAATGATACCATCACAAGGTAGACAAAAAGTTCATTCATCGATTTAGACAAATTGGAAGACATAACAATAGTCAAAGACAGAAAATGAAGACAAAAGCATACCTTCTGTTTGGTTCTCAGCTCATTGATAAGTTCCATTGAGTCCTTAAGTTTTCGAAGCTCTTTGTTAGCCTTCGAATATTCTACCGGTGAGGCTTCTGGCTGTCTTCAATCAACACCAACAAGCTTAATTATGAAAACAAATTCAAAATAGAAGTAATTAAAAACCATTAAAAAAAGAATAAAAAAATATACTACCTGGGTCATGAGATTCTCGAGATAAGCACTCCTATGCTCAATAGCAGATAATCTTTGCTCCATGATTTTAAGAAGGTCAGTTGAAAGCTGAGGTTGCACCTCTGCCCAAACCCAAAATATTGTTTCAATCACTCGAAAACAACTCTTTTTTTATTTTCTGAAACAGAAACTAAGAAATAAAAAGGCTTACCGGTGGAATAATAGCGAGAAAAAGAGAGAGAACTGTTGACAATTTCGGGTAGAAGAAACGATCTTTGATTATAAGGATTGGCATTTGATTTTGCTACTTGAAGTTGTCTTGACGAATTGATCCACCAAATAAGCGTTCGATTCAGTCTTCTCATTTTTTTTCTTCTTTATCAATTGCTGAGCTCTTTCTTTCTCCACTTCTCGGTGGAAGAACTGCTACGGCTCATTCGACCTCGTTTCCGGAGCTGCAACTTGGAATTGCTACGCACGGAGCAAAGAGGCGCGTTTAGGAAACCCCCAAAATATAAAGGCCCATTTGAGTTTTGGAAAAATGAAGGCGAGGAGGAGGCGGCCCAGTCCTGCTATAGTACTGGGTAAGAGTTAGAGACCCAAGCTAACGAAAGCTAAAGCCATGTCGGAATCAGAAATTCAGAGCCCAATGACACTGTAATTATTTACACAAGCCTACCTAATTTTTTTATAAAAAAAAATTGAATAATAGCATAAAGTATTTTCCTTCAATTGGAAGTAATTAGACTATCATGAAGAAAATTTCCTAGCTATGTTTTCAAAACTTGGAATAACAAGCAAAGATACAACTTGACCATCAATGGTGGAAGTAAAACGACAGCAAAAACCCTTTTTTTTCAGACTTTTCACTTGCCAATTTTGGACGTTAAAATTTCAGCTAAAACCTTGAAGGGAAGCTTGTGGTTCGGAGATTACCGATAGCACTGCATATATAGTAATTCTTATTGTCCATATCTAGGATGTAGATAATATGATTAGAAGAAAAGATAGAGAGTATTAATTTACATGTTTATAACATGGAAATATATTATTTGAATTATGAGCTTCTTGTGTGTTTTATTTATTTTTTTTATTTTTGGATCAATAAAAGAATTACAATACCACAACAAAGACAAAGACGGACGTAAGAGCCCTGAAAGAGATCCCTAAACATAAACTTACAAAAGGAAAATCAAAACAAGATGAGATGCGCCCTCATTTGCTAGCGACCAGTATAAAGTTCTCTATGTAGGTTTTGGTGCAGTTGATCTCTTTTCTTTTATTTTCTCTTCTTTTTTTTATGTTTTTTGGACTCTCATTCCACATTTTCTTCATTAACATGTGTTCAATATCTCAAGCCAGCTGTGAAAGGAATGCCAGTGGCGGGCAACCAATTCTCACGGCCCAAAAGGAAGGATTGAACAGTGAATCTCATGGCGGTCCTCCTGTCAATCCTGTGGTAACCCTTCCAGTTAACCCTCTTAGCGGTGTTAGCACCAGGGCCACGGTTGTTGTACTCAGCATAGTAGAGAGTGTTGAGAAAATTGCTTCCAGCCCAGGGCAACCATCCAGCAGGCTGAATGAAGTCTCCCAAGGTGGACTCCATGATAACAGTTGTAGAGTATTGCTTCCATGGCCTGCCCAAGTATGTTGGGATCTTGAACCTGTCAGCGAAGAGCTTCTGCTCGGGGACAATCCTGCAGTTCTGGATCACGGTACCAGTGTTCTCATTCGCATTGGTCTTGCCCTGTGCAGTCACTGTGGTCTGTTGATTATCCATTGGCCTCCTGACGATGATCAGTGAGTTCTGGATAATGGTAGGGGAGTCACCGAAGATGAAGTCAATGGTGCCAGAGATGACACAGTTGCGGAAGAACTGACGGTTGGCTTGATTGTACAAGGTGTCTTGGTAGCCATCCATTCTGCAGTTGAAGAAGGCTGACTTATCGGATTGGATGCGAAGAGCCACGGCCTGGTGCTTTTGAGGACCAGCAGTGTTTTGGAATCCCATGGATTTGGCAATGAAACCATCTCCGATAGCGGCTGTACCATTACAAATATGGAATTATATAAATAAGAAAATTAATTGGGAAGAATTATGAGGAATTAATGGTCCTAAGTCTTAGAAACTTACAGAAAGTGGCAGTCTGCCAGGTGGATGTGCCATCAACGAAGTTCTTGTGGCCAGTGACAATGGTCCTTCTTGGGCCGTCACCGTACATGAGGATGTTGGTGGTTTTTTTGTCCACGGTGATGTACTCGTCGTAGATTCCAGCCTTGACATAAATCACATGTCGGACCTTGGAATTCTTAGGAGCAGCAGCAAGGGCAGCAGCAATGGTCCTGAACTGGCCACTGCCATCCTTAGCCACAACAGCATTTGGTCTCAAGTTGCGGTTATCAATCCTAGCCAAAAGCTTGCGGTCTGCAGCCGAGAACCATGAGGGATAGCCATCCTTCTCAACAGAAAGAAGCCTACGTGCGGTAGGAATGGCCAACTGGAGACCGAATTTGGAAAGAATGTCGGACAACTTTGTCACAATTGCCAAGGCATTGGCTGTGAGTTCACTAGCATCAGCAATACCGGTTGTCATGGTTTGATGCATGGTGGTCTCCGGTTCGAAACCATCCAAGCATGACTGCTGGTATGAGATAACAGCGCTCAACCAGGTCCTGAGATCGGCTATGCGGTCATTGATGCTGCGCAATTCACCATCACCCACCTCGGAGAACGATGCCTGAAGGGACTGAATGGCGTAGTCCATCATCTCCTTACAATCATCCAAGGCCATCTTTGTTCGGCTATCGTTCTTGGCCTGAACGATCAGGGAGTCAGAATAGTTGAGGAATTTCTTCACTGCTTCCTGAGAGGCTAAGATAGCCTGGGCAACGTACTCTTTGGGATCAGTGCTGTTCACAGAGCTGAGGGTCTTCTTGCAAGCTTCTTGATAATCAGTAGATGAACAGAAGTTAGACACGGCCTTCATCTGAGGAGACAAGTCGGCCTTATCGTCGCTATTGCGATGGACCACAGCAACAACGCCAATGACGACTCCCACCACAAGAATGATAGAAATCCCCGAAACAACTACTTTACCCACCATCTTTGCTAATTTTTTCCTTTTTCAGTCACTATTTTTAGATTTTTTTTTTTTGAAGGATCTCCCTCCGACTGGCTTTGGCCAATATAGTACACGATCCGATTCCCAGCCAACTTGAGGGACTCGGACGGGAGAAAGACTTTATTGGAAAGCGCACTTCCCTTCGGCCTTTGCCTTGTTGCTTGATGGCAATGATTATGCATGGCGGGTTTTATAGCAAAATGGAACGTCTAAAATTAGGGTTCTTGCATGGTAATGGACGTTAAAATTGAATGGCTTGTCGGATTTTGCAGTGGATATAAGGTAGAATTCGTGGTTTGAGACAAGCGTTTGACGAGGGTGCTCTGTTAAATTTAGACAAAACATATATATATAGTCTCTGTTTTTTCAAATATTTTGTCTTTACTAGATCTCCACGTCAGCACTATCGCCGCCTCATGTACAAACGTTGTTAAACAAGTACCTTATCCAATATATTGCATATTGAATCAGTTAATTTAGAAACACACTTGATAACCTATTTTGCTTTATATAAATATATATATATAACTAACATTTAAATTTTTTATGAATTATTTAAGAAAATTCAAATAAATCTTTATTACTCTATTACATTCAATTAAGCTCCAAACCCTTATAATTAATTATTATTAATCAAATTAGCACTTGTCATTTTGTATTACGAGATGTTAACGTGGCATATTAATATGTCATAATAGATGATAATGCGGTATGATGACATAATTATGTAATATTTTCATCATTCATATTAGTGTCACATTAGCGCTATATGACATAAAAATGATAGGTGAAATTTTAATTAATAACATTTTTTTTATTTGGAGAAGGTGGTTTCAAACCCTACTTTTTTAAGTAGAGGACCATGCGCTAACCAATTAGTCAAATGTTCGAGTGTGATATTTTAATTAATGACAGTTAATTAACAATTAGTCATAAAATCTTATTTGATTAAAAAAAATAAAATAACTTAATTGAACATAATAGAAGAATAAGAACTTATTTAAATTTTTTTAAATAGTTGAAGAGTTTTTAAAGATTTATATATACATATACCTTAATTCTAAAATTGTTTTTTTTTTGTTTTTGTTAATTATTCGAAATGAGTAAGTTTTGCTCCCATGCATATGTACTTTTCAAAATAATAAAAGTTTAAAATGATTCTAGTGTTTTATTTATTTTTTAAATTAAAATTAATCAAAAAATAATTATCTTTATTATTATATGTATCGAACATAACATTAATATTCATATTAATAACATAAAATTCCATATATATATATATATTTATGAGCATATATGCCAGATAATTATTAGAACCATATTTCCGTATAGATGTTCAACCTTTTCAATCGAACTTTTAATATGAATATTTTTATTCAAATAATCTTAGATTGAGAAAGTGAAATTCACAATATATAAGATGGAATATAACTACTTCCTTATTGAGTAATCTAATTGAGTCTTAAAAAGTAATACTTTTCTGTATATTGAATTTTTGTGGAGAGAATTACGGAGCAAAGATAAAAACGGGTAGCAAGTGCCTTCAATTGCTTTATAGTTTGATTACATGACCTCACGTCAGGACCGTAGCTAGTGGCACACATGCACCTTATGTATTTGTCGAGTGATGATTTGGCTGATCAGTGTCTTCTGTATTCGTATCAATTGCTGTCCCGACTTTCCATTTCCCAATAGCTCTTACTACTTCAATGCCTTTGTCCACTAGTCTCTGTCTGTTAATAAGGTAACATTTTTCTTGTCAAGAGAATAATTTATTGATGATCGATCTTTGACTAAAAAAACTACAGTGAAAATTTATGTACACGCCAATTGCAGTTGGAAATTTTAATCTATTGTAAATTTTAGGATTTATGGTCAATTTGCCGTTATGCTATATATAGATTTAATATTGAAATTTATCATTATTTTTCAATTTCTTTAAATTTTATAAAAATAAAAACGTCTGAATTTTCAGTTTTGCAACTTTTTTTTTAAAAAAAGGCAACAAAATTAAATTTATAACAGAAAATATTTAATAAAATTAAATTTTAATAATAAATTTTAGTACTGCAACAAATGTTTGTGATTTGATCTAATCGTTGCGCGTATACTTTAGTTATATGTCGCTTCTAAATCACTTATTTCACTTTAATAATTAAATACCATGTTCATGCATATTTCCATATTATTTAATTTAGTCAACTTAAGTAATATATATGATCACAAGCATGTATTGTTATCCATGAATAGAGCATATAAATATTGAAGAAGAGAATAAAATATATTTTTTTATGAGAAAAAAATACTAACAATTCGTGAAATCAGTCAAAAGGCTTTATAAAATAGG